TAAAAATATAAAAAAATTACAGTGAGAAAGTAATTTTCATTTAAGTTGACTTTCAAAGGAAAACCTATTACATTTTATTGTATTGTTTTACTTTAAAGAGAAAAAATAAAAAACAATGATACAGAATTTTGAAACAAGATAATAGGAGATTAATCATGGTTAATATATTGCATATTATTATCTGCAAAGTAGTTGCTCAGTTACAAGATATAGGCATGCATAATTGATCAAACAATATAAGCACACATCATTTTTTTCAATGAACTAAAAGAAATCAGTAGTATAACTATCTTTTTTTTTGTGTGTATATATATATTTTTTCCCTTCCTTTTTCCTTTCATCCATCCCTATTATTTTTTCCTTTTGAGGAGTTTCTTTCCCTTTCACAATATACTATTACATTTTAAAAGCCTTCTTTCATAGTATTACCCTACCTTACTAGGTATGGTTGCATATGCCTGTAATCCCAGCACTTAGGAGGCTGAGGCAGGAAGGTCACTGAGTTTGAGACTGGCCTGGGCTGCATAGTGAGTTCAAGGCCAACCTGAACTACAAGGCAAGACCCTGTGTCAACTCCTGCTCCAAAAAAGTATTATCTTACCTTTGGAGATAGCTATGGTCTAATTTTTGTTTTGAAATTGTGGAATAGCTAATAAACAACATGATGATTGATAGCAGGGGCATACATTTCCTTTATTTAAATGTTAATGTCAGTATTTTTTCTTATTCTTATTAAGTGTAAAATCTTCACTTGATTGTATTTCCCATGCATGGGGGCTATGTATTCTTTATCATTGTGCCTTTACTATTTCACACAGTGAGTAAAACATGGTAAGGTCTCAATCAGTACTTATTTAATAAATCCATGCTTTTTTCTTAAATACTAACATCATGTTATATTTTATAAGCACACAAGTTTTTAAAAATATAAAATATTATTTTCTGTATTTGTGCAAAGATTCTGACATGTTAATTTTTTAGATCACTTTCAGGAAAGTAATTTTTGAATATGTTTTTCTTCAGATTCTTCTACTTATAGTTTTGATTGCCACTTATATTCTTTTCCATTTATAATTATTGTAAGTCATATGCTGCAATATTACCTTAGTATTATCTTACTGCATATCACTTTTATTTGTCTGGAAAAACTCTAGAGGAAAATGAATGGTAATACTACAAATCTTTGTATATTAGGGGAATAGAATGGGGGAAATGTGAATGTTCCAAATAGCTGAAGATTTTATTGCTTCTTTGTTGTTTATTAAAGAAGTCTGATACATAGCCTCAATTTGACCATATTGAAGGGTATTTACCTCTAACTATATATGTGCTTTGAAGTACATTTGTTTCTCAATATGTGACTTTACCCAGAGGCTTGCTTGTTTTTCCATCATAACTATATGAAATGTGCCTCTTTTCTTTTAAAATCATCTCTGAAGACAATTATGATAAAATAAGGATTTTGATGTATCAAGGAGTATTTATTATTAAAACAATGTAAAAGTATCTGTATTCCCTGCATATTTAATATAGAACCAAAAATATTTTGCTCAAAAGGAGTACTTTTCTATCAGTGAATCCAAAGGCACAGAAAAAAATTAAAAGTATCTTTTATTTCTTTACTCTGTAAATCATAAAATGAACAAGAAAGTGAAGGAGCTAACTGAGATAAAGGGGGTTTAATGTACATGCCGCTTCTCAATACTCTATTGTCATAGTAAGTATTTATCCCTAAGGTATGTAAGTATATAACTTAAGTTTCAAGGTAAATAGGGGAAGATGGACTTTCTTTTCCTAAACTGCATATTTCTTGGTTCATGTAATACTAAATGCCCAATGATCATGATGACATGGAATCATTAAATTTTCCATTATTATGTTCACAGCTGTGTGCTGAGTGTGTGTGTGTGTGTGTGTGTGTAAGCAAATAAGGAGGAGAAGGCAGAGATGACTTGTGAGTGTTGAGTTTGGATGAATGTGTCCTCAGAGGTGGTTATGACAAACTGCTCACTGCAATGAGCAGAGCAGATGATAAATTCAATTTGAGGCAATTGAATTTGGAGAAAAATTATCAACAGAAAGTAGAACTTTGAAAATGGGAAATTTCAAATTTATAGGTGGCAGTCATGTGTTTCACATGCTTTTGAATAAGTTTTATTACAGATCTGAAAATGAGTTGTTTTACTTTAAAATTGGAATTTAGGGAAATAATATTTAGGGTTTTTTTGGCCTTGGTTTTGAATCATTAAAATGACTTTAAAATGCTGTCAAATTTTTGGATGCGGGAATTTTCTGATTTCACAAAAAGTATAATGAGTGTATTTTAATGATTATGAGGTCTAAAAGCTACTATAACTGTACTTGAGATCTATTTAGTTATGTTACATGTAGTGTTGTTTCAGTACATCTTATGAATATATATGACATTATGATTTACCGGGAACTTATTAAAAACACAAATACTAACTGTGTTTCAACCTGAATCTTTTCCTCAGGAGTATGTCTTGACTTTGGCAGTGAAAACTTACTTTTCATTGTCTTCTTCAATATTAATAAGGCTGTAAGAAAACACTTTTGTATGCAAAACATTTAACAGTTGTTTCTATTGAAGTTCTTTGGTAATTCAAAATGTGTGAAGTTGCCATATTAATTTTATATCATTTCAAAGAAAAACTTTCACTAGGTGGCGCCAATACGTTGGGTCTTTACTGACAAAACACTTGATTTCTCCTATTTATAAAAATAAATGTTTAACGTGTGTGGCAAGATAAGAAAATTTGCCTAGTTCATTTGAGTATATAAAAGTTGGAAACTTTTAGTTCTCTTGTATGTTTTCCCCAATGGAAATAACCTTGAACGATATATTTTAAAATTGTATTTACCTATTTATACACATTGATCAATATTGTAAGATTTTTAAAGGCTGTATTTTAGGAGGATTTTCTCTGGAGTAGTAAGATTACCTATATGTTGCAAATAGAAAGTTACAGTTTCAAATAATTAAAATTATGCTTTTAAAAATGTTAATACAAAGAACAGAAACATTTTGTAGTCTGTTGTGATATATTTTGATTTCCTCTTATGTATGGATTATTCCATTATTTCTGATGTAACATTCAAATTTGTTCACTTATTACTGCGAGTCTCTAATATTTGTTACCTGATTACTTTACTTTATAACAGGCACTTGGCAATTTATTGCAATTAGAAATATATTGTGACCTTAAAAGAACTTGGTTTTCAAGATGAAGACTGAAGAAGACTTGTATATAATTAAATATACCTCCAATAAATTGTTCCTATTGAAGTCACCATATCCAAAAGTCTAAGTACTTACCTTTCTCATTTTGTTAAAAAAGTTTCTAGTTTTTCATTTAGATTCTTCAAAGAGGAGGAGAAAATGTTTCAAGAGAGGTGAGAGGGAAGGATTGAAGAAAAATAGGTGGACAAAGTTATGTGTGGGGAAGAGAATAGAGAAGAGGTTGAAAACATTTGGTTATTGCTAAAATGATTCAGTATCCTTTGGAGAACTTACTGTCTTCAAGTATAACTGTAGAATAGTTTGTACTTTGTCAGTAAAGTCTGTATTCTAAAGTCATATCCATGGTAAATAGTAAGCACTATGTAAAAAAATAAAACCTACTTGGATTTATTCATGGTTTAATGGTAGAGAATTGAGGTTTTAGAATCATACTGCATTCAGTTTCTTGCTCTATCACGTACTAGCTAGATAAGTTATTTTTGTCATTCTAAGCCTCTAAAATAGTAGTAATAATATCTACCAAATTATGAAAATGCAGTAAGATATGAAATGTGCATGTACGCATACTGGCTAACACAATGTTTGCTTATTAATGCCCAT